GTGGAAGCTCTCCAACTCTTAGATACTGAGGGGGATATAAGACGGCTAAAGCGTAGAAAGCCAATGGATTTGGTGAAATGAAAGAGAAGGGGAAATATAACCCTAGCATAATGTATCGGTGTATACGGACTGCTATGTAGATATTTAAGAGCTTGGATAATGATCTAAGACTCAATACATGTTAAATCAATATTTGTAAAAATTATTACTTATTTGAACTACTGTTTGAGATTATATTAAACATTTTATTTAAAAAAAAATATATATATTTATTTATATATTTATTTATATATTTATTTATATATTTATTTTATCATTTTCTTTATTTAAATACTTTAAAATACTTTGATTTTCTTATATCTAATAATCAATTTGCTTGTTAAAATAATAATTACATCAACAAATTCAATTTGTTAAAAGGTGGATGATTTATTTTGTTCAGCATTTTATATGTAAATAGTAAAAAGAAAAAGAAGAAGAAATTCATTGATAGATAAAAACATTTATCGCAAACATGTACTCGTAAAATGCATTCCAGATTCAGATCTGAATGCTTTCTTTTTCTTTCTCGGGAAGTGACCAGACTGGGAAAAGGAAAGAGATGGTTGACTGGCCGATGCATGCTGCTATGTGAAGAGTCATATAAACATAAGATTTGCATAAATTTAAAAGATATGGGATATAAATCAGATGCAATAGCAACAAATGTGGATTGAAATTCAGATTCAGATTTGAGGTCGAATTGGAATAACCAGTAGCATAAAGTTTTTTTAAAAATTGCCTCTTACAGCACATAACACATCTCAATTCTTTGTGATTGATACAATCGAGTTAAGCGATATGCAAATATTTTGTCAAAAACGTACCGGTCTAATGTAAATTTTTCGTTCCATTAATGTTTAGTGATGAAAATTGGCGGCGGATAAAACACGTTCTCTCTGAATATCAAGCAGAAATGAACAAAAAAAAATGAATCTCACAATTAGATTTTGTGTCAATTATACAGAAATGTTCTGCATATCCGGCAAAAAGTAAGATTTAATTTTCAATAACATACTCTAGAACAATCGAGCATTATAATTGAACGATTACACAGACATATTTCCAAAGTACGAGTTTTCGTGGTATGCTAATCGCGATTATGATTTTTCATAGGAAATAAGTTTCTTTACAGGAGAGAAAAACTCAGGGGCGAAAGCCCTTGTCTTCCTGTATGATCTATGATTTATTTGTTAATCATTTTTATATAGAATGATTGCTCGGTGACCATTTTATATCGCTTCTTGAAGAATTGAGTAAAACACGAAATTAAAATTAAAATCTTTCACAATCATGGAAAAAAATTTCGTAGCAACTACTTATAGTAAAATGAATATACTAGACGAACACCATGAACAAATGTTATATAAAATCTAGTCATAAAAAGAATATTTTTGCAAAATTTACTCAAGATTGGGGTAAATGTTCACTTTAGGGGAATCAGCTCCGATGACATCGATGTTATAGAGGACATTTTACTGAGTAACCTTCAAAAAGTTTTAACCGTCGCTCATTATTTATTAAAGTTATTAAATTCTTTAATAACAAAAGTTATTAAAGAAAGAAGTTGAATATAATGAACATAATTTTCGGATACTTTTTTTTCTATAACGGTGGGGAAATCCATCATGGATACCCCCGCCCCTTAGGGAGGGCAGGGGTTATGCCGGACTCCTACCGACTAAAACCCCACCATGTATCTACCTTTCGGACCGTGGTGGAGGGAATCAGGGGAACTACTCCCGTATTCCCTCCCTGACAACTTTAGGACACTATATAGGTTACTCACATTGAGACAGATAATTTGTTTTGTTTACATGAGTGACAATCCTCCTGAGTGACAATTAAAAAGTTTTAGCCGTCACTCATTGTTTATTAAAAAGTAATTAACAAAAGAAATTTCATAAATAGAATGTAATTTTCCGACACTGTGTACATATTTAAAGAATGAGCACATGCTATATATGTCCTATACATGAATATATTCATCATATTGCTGACCTACAACTTCATCTGCTTTTTTAGTCGGAAAACATTTTTTTTGGTAATTATGCAGAAATAGGGTCCACCTCCCGATGTCAATAATTTTCACATATGTTATCAAGGTTCTGTAATGTTGTTCTGTAATGAGTAATGTTCTGAAAGTTTTAACCCGCGCTCATTGTTTATGACAAAGTTATGAACAAATGAAGTTTCATAAATTTTTCCATACAGTTAATCCAAACAGTATATATATATATACAAGTATATATATATATATACAAGTATATATAGAAAAGTAGGAAACAGTACATATAAGCAGGAGAGGAGCTTTGCCCCTTCCCCACACCCTTTCCCGAATAAATCCTAACCTAACTTAACTTATTGCATCTTTATATGAAAAGATTTCCTTAAAACCTATAACACCTAATTGTATGCAGATATAATAAATTAAATTGGGTTAGGTGATAGATCTTAAAAGAACTTGTTCAACAATGTCCAAAAATATATAAAGTGTGACGCTAATTTCTTAACGCCGACAAGTCGGCCCACGCGTCACGGTCTCTCACACGAAACTTAGGTTGGGCGCCAGCTGCGGACAGCCGCACCGTTCACCAACTCGAATCGTCAAAAAGTGCGACCGTGACATGGGACTCCAACGGGACCGGTAGCTCGTAGAGGTTTAAAGTCGGTAGACGGGATGAGTTCGGTTGGAAATCGGGAAAGCGTGAAAGAAGATAACGAGCGGTGTTTTGAATATCGAGATCATAATTTATTGTCATGGAGATCGGCACGCTCCGAAACCCCGCGGGACGATACAATTTTCCTCCGCTTTCTTCCGCGAGATCGATACCGCTCTGCGCAACACAACTCAACTCTCCGACGAGACACGCAAACGGAACATCGAAAATAATAGCAGGTGATCGGTCTTACAAATACGGGAACCTCCCGGCGGCGAGGTCCTTCTGGGTCGTCGTACGGGTTGCTTTCGCCTCTCGCTCACAGGTCCCGGCCGTAGATTCGCTCACGGTAGTCCGTTTATATGATCGGCAACGGTCGACGCACTTCAACAACGTTCCTCGAGATCGAAACACCAAAGTCTCTCCGTCGGGAGCGGAACACCAAAAAGAATCTCTTGGCCGGAGAGCAACCACGATTTGTTAATTTCGCTAGAGCGACCACTGAATTTTCTCTCTCTCGAGTGATATCACGAGACGACTCGTTTTTTTTGCGACAAACGAACTCAGCTCTCTCGTGCGAAAAACGGATCTCCTTCTTTCGAGAGCGAAAAACGGAAACTGACTTCTTTCTTTCTTTTGTCTTTCCGTTGCTCGGAAGGGGTTACTCTCTCTTTCCCTTCCCCTCTCGTCCAACTCATAGGAAATCCTTTCGCGAATCGCTGTTGTCGATCCGCGTTACGTATGCTCTCTCTCTCTCTCTCTCTTTCTCTCTCTTTCTCTCACTCTCTCTCGGTCTCTGTCTCGCTCTTTATTCCGCGAGCATGGTCTTCGGGTCCGTCTAGACGCTGTTTTTCGGCGAGCGGCCACGCGTCGTGGTCGTGGTCGCTCGACGGTATCCCGCCTCGCTCCGCTCGCCCCCTTCCGTGTTGTCATCTGGGCTTGTCTGACAACAAACACGGCAGCGGTAATTTCTTTCGGGACAACACATAATTTGCTAATAGGAAAAGAGAATAGAGAGCAATCACCTGATCGTGCCGGGCGACGAGCGACGTTCTCCATATTCTTCCTCCTGTCCTGCTGGTCGGCTCGGGAGGTCCAGGGGCACAAAATCGTGGGACACGAGACCGTCTCACCTGCGCGCTCTTAACACTAAAGCTTCCGCTCGAATTATTATAATCTCCCGGGGGGGGGGGTCAGTTCAGACTCCCCATGGCCCGCGCGATAATTTCTGCCCCCCGCGTCGCGATCGAGGTTTGGCCTACTAGTGACGGGCGTCCCCGCGGTTGCCACGTCACAAAAGATGCAATAAGTTAGATTAGGTTAGGATTTGTTTGGGGAGGGGTTGCGGAGGAGAGGCGAAGCCCCTCTCCTGCTTATATGTACTGTTTAACATTGTTTAATGTATATTATGTCTAAAGAAAATCTATCTATAAAATTTTGTACAACTTTTTGTTAATAACTTTTTAATAAATAATGAGCGATGGCTAAAACCTTTTGATTGTGATTCAGGAAGGTCTCCTTGATAATATATCTAACAGACAAGATCATCGGAAGTGGATCCCCTAAACAGGAGTTTTACCTTTATGTAACTTCTTTTGATAATAACTTTTTGATAAACAATGAACGACAGTTAAAATATTTTGAATGTTACTCAGTAAGATGTCCTCTATAACATATGTCAAGGTCGAAGTCATTGGAGCTAACTCCCCTAAAGTGAACATTTACCAAAATCGGAATATATTGGTAATTAATTTAGATTAGCGGAACAAATTCTGATGACTTTGACACATAGTTTTTGTGACATTCCATATGCTATATTTAATGTTTGATGCATCTATCGCGTTTTTTCCTTCGATTAACTTCGTGTATGTTTATTTTTTTTCATACGTATATTTACACGTGTCCTTGTCTTTCATGCAAGTAGTAATTATTATTACGTCTTCTTCAATGAAAAATATTTGACTTATCTTATTGTGACTAATCGACAGACTTTATCATGGCACTTGCAAAATTTCAATAATAAATCATATGTGATATTTTCAAATGGTGTATTTTCAAATTGCGGCATAGATTTATCATTTCTTTCAGTCATCAGTATTTGATTTTCTTTTTCCTTTTTCTAAAAAAGATGAATTTTACAATTACATGCAGAGTGTCCGTTACAACACATGATAGAGCTCATGGGCGGTTAGAAGGATTCAAATGAGGTAAAAAAGTTCTGCATTACATTTTCCGGACAACTACGTAACATTTCAAGTTACTAGTGAAAGAAAATTTGCAAATCAGTGCACGCGACGCAGTGCGACGGCGCGTTTGCATGAAAAATAGTTAACTGTACGATTGTCTCTCAGCAGCAGTATCGGATAACAGCGAAAGGCGTAAACAAGCTGCGAGTGGCCCGTCGACAATTGTTTGTGTAGCATCCGATACTGATCGCTTCTAAGAGAGACGTTCACATCATCTTATCACGTTGGTTCGTCAATTTTCACTCATTAATAGCTTGAAATCCTATGTGGTTACTTTCTGCAAATATGGAAGAGGATTTTTTTTATTCATTTAAAAAATTTATTTATTTTTACTTATTTTCTTTTGATGGACTCTTTGTATTCCAAATGTTAATAAATAATTGCACGAGTTTATCTTATTAGCTGAAATAATTTAATTACACGTTTATTGCTATTTCTTTTATTTCTTAAATTATTTTCTATATTTTTCTAGTGATATAATCAGTCTGTTAGTCCATTAAAAGAGTATTCTACCTTATTCACTCGTAAATTTCGTGCAAAGAAGGTAAGAGCAGAATATTGACCTTCATTTCTTCTATTTTTATTTAAATCTATATTAATTCTTAACATAGATTTAACTTGCATTGTATTTGCTGTTGCTAAAATAACTGTTGGACCCTATATTTCTAGTAATTGCGATATAAAGAATAATTTTGAATGGCTGTAACTTTTTTATCAAAGATAGGAAAATTATAACATTCGATATATGTTTATACATTTCCTTTGTACAATACAAATTTAGTTAAATGTGACTTCAATGATGTTTAACTAACATGATTCAAGCATGATTCAAAAGGAACTGAAAACTTTTAAAAAATTAATTAAGCATCATCATAAAAATTATGATTATCATGCAATTATTGTTATTTTTATACGTTTTCCTTCAAATCGTGAAATTGAGTATTAAAATTATTATGGCATTTATTGCCATTTTTTACTCTACTTCATAAGTTTTTATTAAATCTAAAACAAATATTTTATGCAAATTTATATAAAAGATATATAACATTCATATAAAAATGTTATCTTTTTCTTCTTACATAGAAAATGTAATTAAAAATAAAGTTATAAAAATAAGCTCTCTCTCTCTCTCGCTCTCTCTTTCTCTTTCTCTTTCTCTTCCTCTCTGTCTAAAATAAATTTTCAAATCATTGTTTTTAATAACTTTAATTACTGATCTGTTCTCGGTAAAAATTACAATTATTTATGAACACAATGTATTTCATGACTCTAATATTTACTGAAGTTTACATGACCTTAAAGAAAAAGAAGATATTAAAAATTAAATTATTTTCGTCAATTTATTATATCTCTCGAATCTATATTTATCAAAATTCTTCAAGTTTTAACCTGAAATAATTATAAATTAGGTAGAATAGAATATAACCACACGTGGAATATAACCATATCAGATAAATATTATTTATGTTAAACAGAACTATCTATAAATATGGACAAATTTATGTCAATTTATTTGAAAAAAAATATATATGTATTCTTCCTCAAATCAGACACCTTCTCTGTCCAAAAATGGGGTCATCTAGAAAATTCCTTCAGAGCTCATTTTATAGCTATACATATAATATAATATATAGTTTTATTTGAGCTGTGGCCTTTTGAAAAATCAACATGGTCGACCCCAATATGATCGCCGAAGTCTGCGAGTACGACAGATGAAATTGTTACTTAGAAGTTATAAAACAATTTCAACTTTCATAGAAATATGTATTAATGAGTTTATTTAGTAGCTAGCATTGAATTCATAGAAAAAAATGAATTTTTAGTTTGTTCAAAACCAATATGGTAGCCAAATGAAATACTAAAAAATAACTATTTCGTTCTTTAAAAATTACAAACTGCGTTTAATTTTCATAAAAATTTATATCATAATACATTTTGAGATATTGATCATAAATTAACAATTGGGAAGTCGTATTTAAATATGATGAAACCTAATATGGCGGCTGTATATTCGAAAAAATGCTAAAAAATAATGAAATCGATATTCAAATCATACAAACTCGTTCTAATTACACATTTTGGTGCCTGCGATTTCTTAGGTAATTGTAAGTGCAGAATCCAAATACCGTCAGATTTGATCTATCAGATCTATTATAGTTTACAAGATACGGCATATACGTCTTATTATCTGCATAAGTCCATAAAGCCATAAAAAATAATTTCATTTTTTAACTTAAGTACATTTCTAGTTACACACTGGTTGACAAAATGTGAACTTTTTCTACATTTTGACAATGAGTAAGTAAGTAAAGGCAAGACAAGTAGTCTTCCCAGCCAGTGAAGTCAAGAGAGACGGATTGTTCGGCCAATGAAGGCAAGACAGATGGACTGTCCGGCCATTTTAATAACAAATTTTAGTTTTTCGAAAATATTTATATTTAGCCACCACGTTGTGTCCGACCATATTTGAAAAAATGTTATAATCATTAATTTGTAACCACTGACCAAAAAATTGTAGGGACACAATATTTTTTTAATGAAAATTGAACAAAGCTTCATTTTACAAGATAATAATTTTTCAGCATTTTATTTATAAATTAGCCGCTATGTTGGTTTCGACATATTGAAATTAAACATTTGTGTTAATGGAAACAACTGAAAAATACCGTAACACATAAATTAATAACAATTAGAAGTAATTTATATAATTTGAATATCGACTTCTTTATTTTTTAGCATTTAGCATTTTAGCATTCTTGAATATACAACCGTCATATTGGGTCTCGTCATATTTAAATACGACTTCCCAATTGTTAATTTATGATCAATATCTCACAATGTATCATGATATAAATTTTCATGGAAATGGAACGCAGTTTGTAATTTTTAAAGAACGAAATAGTTATTTTTTAGCATTTCACGGAAATGTGGCCGCCATATTGGTTTTAGACAAATTAAAAATTCATTTTTTTCCATGGATTTAATACTAGCTACTAAATAAACTCATTAACACATATTTCTATGAAAGTCGAAACTGATTTATAACTTCTAAGTAACGATTTCATCTGTCATACCTCGTTACCCGCAGACTTCGGCCCTTATATTGGCGTCTGCCATGTTGATTTTTCAAAAGGCTATACAGTTCAAATAAAACTACATACGTACAGCTATAAAATGAGGCAATTTTCCAGGTGACCCCAATTTTTGAATATGGGAGATATCTAATTTGAGAGAGAATGCCCTATATATTTTTTTTTCGAGTGAATTAACATATAAATTTATTCATATTTAAAAACAGTTCTCTCCAATATAAATAATATAAAAAACATATAAGAACATAAACATGTAACAATGCTTTTTTTCAATTATTGTTATAATACTATCATTTGATAATATTTTCTTGTAACAGCTTTTGCTTAAAAATGGAGTATATTTGGATGATATTGATATTTGCATCCATGCCATGGATAATGGTATCTGCAAAACTGGTAAGCAATAATTTCATAAAGAATAATATTACCTTCGTGTCAAAAAAATTTGAAATTTATTAATGCATTTACATAATTTGCCACATGCCATTTTGTCACATGGATAGCAACGTTCGATGAAGAACACAATTAAACCTCATAGAAAAACTTTACAGAATCTTTATAGGAAATCATTTTTAGCTAAATTTTTTGAAAACTAACTACATAATAATTCTTAATGCGTAGACCAAAGTACGAGGGCAGTTTGATAAGTCAGTGACTTTTTGAATTTTCCGCGCAGTAACTTTAAATGCAGCACTGCTCCCGTCAACTGCCATCTATTAATAGACTACTGTACAAATTTGGGCAAGCTGCGCCATTTAGTTAGTGTTTGACAGCCATTCAAAGCAGACAACCTTGTGAATTTTAACGACAATGGAAAAAAGTGAATTTCGTTTGCTGATTAAGCATTATTTTTTGCGTAAAAAAACCATCACCGAAACCAAGGCAAAGCTTGATAAATACTATGGGGACTCTGCACCATCAATTTCAATGGTTAAGAAGTGGTTTACTGAGTTCCGTTGTGGTCGTACCAGCACAAGTGACGCCGAACGTTCAGGTCGCCCAAAAGAGGTCGTCACGCTAGAAATCGTCTATAAAATCCATGGAATGATATTGGACGATCGGAGAATGAAAGTGCGTGAAGTGGCTGAGGCTGTAGGCATCTCAACTGAGCGGGTACATCACATTTTACATGAATATTTGGACATGAAAAAGCTATCCGCGCGATGGGTGCCGCGATTGCTCACACTCGACCGTGTCGACCATAAGCGCAACCGTGTGACCATTTCAAAGGAGTGTTTGGCGATGTTCAGCCGCAATCCGAACGAGTTTTTGCGCCGTTTCGTTACCGTAGACGAAACATGGATCCATCACACCACACCAAAGACCAAGGAACAATCAAGACAGTGAGTTTCTTCGGGTGAACGTGCACCAAAGAAGGCCAAGGTGGGTCTGTCGGCCAACAAGGTCATGGCCACAGTTTTTTGGGATGCACGCGGTATCATTCACATCGATTACCTTGAAAAGGGTAAAACGATCACCGGCGAATATTATTCAGAGCTTTTGGACAGATTCGATATTGATTTGAAGCAAAAACGACCGCATTTGGCGAAGAAAAAAGTGCTGTTCCATCAGGACAATGCACGGGTGCACACGTGTGTAGTCACCATGGCAAAAATCCATAAATTGGGCTACGAACTGCTACCCCATGCAGCATATTCACCAGATTTAGCCCCCTGCGACTATTTCCTGTTTTCAAACCTGAAGAAATGGCTGGGCGGTAAGAGATTTGGGTCGAATGAAGAGGTCATCACTGAAACAAACGCCTATTTTGAGGGCCTTGAGAAAACCTATTATTTGGAAGGAATAAAAAAATTGGAAAAACGGTGGACTAAATGTATCGAGCTAAAAGGAGACTACGTTGAGAAATAAAACGCTTATTTGCCGAAAAAAATATCTTTTATTAAAAAAGTCACTGACTTATCAAACTACCCTCGTATTAATGGGTTCAAAGTCCGGTAATGAATAGTCTCCGAACTACAGCGACTCAAAGTTAAAGTTTATTTAATGATGTGTTTTATTATATTTTCAATGGACATTGAATAAACGTTAAAGAAACAAATAAGCATTTTCGCGCTTATATAATATATTTCCTTAGAAACCTATAATTTTGTATCTATTTCGGTAGAAACAAATTCCGTTAGTCGCTGGTAGTTCTAGTGTTAAGATTAGCAGAGAAAGATATTATTAAGAAATATATATGATAAAATAATGTGGATATATATCTCAACTTTTCAATTGTATACTATATAAATACTGTTTATTTTGTAAGATATACATGTACAACATTTATCTTTCAACAGATTTATACAACTATAAGAGTTTGATTAATTCCCAATTTTAAAGTGCAATTAATGTGAACAAGTTTGAAGAACATAGTTATAATAATAAACAATATTTTATAAAGATGAAATGTGGCATTCTACTCAAACGAATATTCCACGTGGAAGCAATTTAAAGAGCAATTCAAAGAGCAACTGGCAAAAAATGCCCGTTTTCAGTACCTCGATTTTTGAAACTTTTTATGCCAAATGGTTACTTATGATGACCCAAAAATCCCTGCAAAATTTCAAGATGAGCATATCCCCCGTTTAAGAAATATAGGGGATCAAAGTTGACCATGTCCAATTAAAAAATATAGCAGCTTCACATTTATACTCCAATAATAATGTCCACAAAATTCAGCCGAAATGGTTCTTTTAAGATTTTTGGCTGCTGATTATGAATTTGAAGTCAGATTTTAAAAATTCAAAATGTCGGATCCAATATGGTGGACGAATTTTTCTTAAATTCATCAGATTCACTTGAAACTCGTTACTCGGGGATTTTTGGGGTTCACCAAATACGAAAGAGATATCAGATTTTAAAAATTCAAAATGACAGATCCTACATATCCAACAAAGGCAAGATATAATAATCCAACCAACGAAGGCAAGATGCAATGCCAAATCCAACCAACAAAGGCAAGATGTAATACATAATCCAACTAACGAAGGCAAGATATAATGCCAAATCCAACCAACAAAGGCAAGATGTAATGCATAATCCAACCAACCACGACGGCTGAATTTTTTGGACATTATTATTGGAGTATAAATGTGAAGCTGCTATATTTTTTAATTGGACATGGTCAACTTTGACCCCTTATATTTCTTAAACGGGGCATATGCTCATCTTGAAATTTTGCAGGGATTTTTCGGTCATCATAAGTAACCATTTGGCATAAAAAAAGTTTCAAAAATCGAGGTACCGAAAACGGGCATTTTTTGCATAGGGCTTGCCGAGGCTCTTTGCGTTGAAAGAGATATGTAAATAACACACATATCTCAAACCTTGAAATTTTAAATGTTACACTATTGTGTAGACTCTGTACCTCTTATCTAGTAATTTGTAAAAACGAGCACTATGATCACGTTTATTTTTATTCGTACTGTTAACAATACGTAGTCTAAGCTATAGTAAATTTCTAAAGAAATAATTTCAAAGAAATATTATCAAAGAGTTTTCTTTATTACTAGATTGATGATGATTCTATGCAATGCGACTCTGGAGAATGGTATTTTAGAACAATCCAACAGCAAAACGAAACAAACGTGACAATTTATTTCAAAAAAGTACGTAACTATGAAACTTTATCATTTTTATAATGCGAACAATATCGACTTATGATATGAACAAAATCAGTAATTGTTAAATACACGATATGAAATCCAGATTGAGCTGATAAATTATATGTTGATAACTTTATATGTATGAAACACTCTGCTTATTAAATATTTAACTGCGAATTAAGATATGGTTTCCTAATTAAAGTTCCTTCTAGGGACCATATCAGCCGTTAAGCTATATACATTTTACGATAGATAACAAAAATCACACTAAACTGGAAACATGGGGCAAGGATATAAAGTGCGACAAGGGAAATGCTAAGATCGAGGATGAGGAAGCCTGTTTAACTGCTGAGGTAAATATATATTCTTTTAGCACATTTCTCTCTCTCCCTATTGCTCCCCCCTCTCTCTCTCTCTCTCTCTCTCTCTCTTCCTTTCTATCTATCTCTCTCTTTCTATCTCTTTCTCTCTCTTTCTCTTTCTCTCTCTTTCTCTCTTCTTCTTAAGAATATTGCCGATTAAATCGGTAGAAAGAGTGTTTCACGAATAAAAACCATTTTATCCATTAGCACAAATAGTAGTTTTCTATACATTTTTGGCTGCTTAACACAAATCTACTGTTTAAATTTGAATATCATACTATAATTTTAAGAAAAATGGAATACAATAAAACAAAACATAGGGTTTTATGGAATTTTATGACGCTATAACGTATACGGCAATAGAAATTTTTTCTTTTATTTCATTAATGCTATATGAATATTAAGCTGTAAAATGCATTTCCTTCGGTTTAAGATAATTCTTCATTTCAGAAATATGGCTATATAAAAATAAAAAAGAAATCATCAAAGATATCATTCTTCTCCGTATTATATTGTATAGAGAATAAAGATCAATTAATCTATTGACTGTAATTGACTATAAGACCTGCTTATGCTTTAGAGAATACAAAAATTATGTTTTAGAAATAACCTTTTACTATTACAGATTATCTGTTACTCGTGGAGAAAAGTAATTCGTTAGCAATTCATTAAATATGTTGAAAAATAACTCGTTATCGTTATTGTTATATATAAATTACAAGTGAAACTTATACAAGCGCAACATGTATTGTGTTATTTTTAGAAATTTCAAATTCAAATTATTTTTTAAAGTTATATATTTAAAGGTATATTCTTCCTCTTTCGTTTTTATATTTCTCACGATGCATTTCGTTTTCCTGTTGAGCCATATACCAGGTATGTCGGTAATTACTTTCCGGTTTTTGTAACAGATGTCACTAGCCATAAGTATACAATGTTATGATTTGATACATATGTCATTTTATTCTACTGACATTAACCTCAAAACTACACAAGTTACGTTCCGCCAAAATAACAGCGTTATAGATTAATAATTTTTTGAAAATGTCGAGTTTTGTGCCTGAAAATGTCGAATTTTGTGCGTGCATTTGCAGCACGCATTACTTTTCTTGTTTAATCAAAAGAAAAAAGCCGCTGAAAGTCATCGTTTGCTGGTAGAGACTTATGGTAAGCATGCTCCAACCATAAGAACATGTGAAACGTGGTTTCGACAATTCAAATGTGATGATTTCAACGTTCAAGACAAAAAACGTCCTGGTAGGCCGAAAACGTTTGAAGATGCGGAATTGCAGGAGTTATTGGATGAAGACCCAACACAAACTCAAAAACAATTGGCAGAAAAGTTGAATGTCAGCCGAGTAGCAATTTGTGAACGATTACAAGCGATGGGAAAGATCCAAAAGATGGGAAGATGGGTGCCATATGAATTGAATGACAGGCAATTGGAAAATCGAAAAATCGTCAGTGAAATGCTGCTTCAAAGGTATGAAAGGAAGTCATTTCTGCATCGAATAGTAACGGGTGATGAAAAATGGATTTATTTCGAAAATCCCAAGCGAAAAAAATCATGGTTATCATCTGGCGAAAGCGGCCCATCGACTGCAAGGCCAAATCGCTTTGGTCGCAAGACCATGCTCTGTGTCTGGTGGGACCAGGTTGGTGTCGTATATTATGAACTGTTGAAACCTGGAGAAACAGTAAATACTGATCGCTACCAACAACAAATGATCAATTTGAACTGTGCATTCATCGAAAAACGTTCACAATACGCTCAAAGACATGATAAGGTGATTTTGCAGCATGACAACGCGCCGTCTCATACAGCAAAACCAGTCAAAGAAGTGTTGAAATCACTTGGATGGGAAGTTTTATCGCACTCGCCGTACTCTCCAGACCTGGCTCCATCCGACTACCACCTTTTTGCATCGATGGGGCACGCGCTTGCAGAGCAGTACTTCGCCGATTTCGAAGAAGTTAAAAAATGGCTCGATGAATGGTTTAGCTTGAAGAAGAAACAGTTCTTTTGGAATGGCATCCATAAATTGCCTGAGAGATGGGCAAAATGTATAGAATCAAATGGCCAATACTTTGAATAAATATATTTTAACTATCCATTGTAAATAACGTGTTTTCTTTAGCGAAAAAACCGGAAAGGAATTACCGACACACCTGGTATATGTGTACATAAGTTTTTACAAGTAAAACTTACAACTATAATAAAACTCTGCAACTTTTCTACTGTACAAAAGAAATGATATATTAGAACAGTAGCGCCAACTAAGAAATCTAACATATATATATGATTATTGTGTACTTAACTTAATATTTTTAGAAATCTCAAATTCACATTATTTTCTTTTTTAAGATATATATCATGTACATAACATAAGTTTTTATAATATATGTACATAAACTTTTAAAAGTAAAAATTATATCGTGTTGTAAAAATTTAACACGTTTGTTAATAGTGTCCAATATTAAAAAAAATATATTTTTAAATATTATGTACATAACATAAGTTTTTATAAGTAAAACTTATCAAATTATTTTTTTTGTAAAATATATATATCTTTTTTGTCGGTAACGCAGGGGAAATCCATTATGGATACTCCCGACCTCTGAGGGGGGTTGGGGGTTATGTCGAACTCCTACCGACTGAAACCCTTGCGGGATGCCTACCTGTCGGACCGGTGAGAGGGGAGTCAGGGGAACTACTCCCGTATTCTCTCCCCAATCCCCCGGCCCCAGGGCTCTAAGGGAGCCCCTCGCAATCCTGTACCACGCTCTGTTCCATGAAGGAATCCAGGGCGCGGTCTCGGTCGGTCGGTTGGCCGATCGGTTGGCCTTCTGGTGTCACCTATAGAGGAGGGAAGGGGGTATCCGCCCTCCCTCCTTATCCCCCTCCCTAGGGAAGGAGGGTTTCTGGGGGAGTGGGCCCGTCCCCAATCGGGACACCATTCCCCCCTGTCCCTTCCTGTCCGTCACGCAGGGGGACCCGGACTCCGCTACGCAGAGTCCCCCCTGCGGACGGAGGCGGGCCCGAGGCGGCCGAGGAGGGCTTGGGCTCTTGCTATCCAGGGATCCCTCCTCCTCCTCGGCCGATGCCACCTCAGGCCCGCTACCTATACCCCCCCCCCCCGGGAGCGCTGGCCGCCCCGGCGCCTTCTGCGCCGGGTTACAGGGCCGACGCTCCCGCTCGGCGGCCTCCTTCTTGGACATCACGTCCCTGCAGAAGGAGGCCGCCGCTTCCAATCCCTCCTCGCTTCCGCACATGGTCCATACCATGCGCAGGAGCGAGATCCTCCCTTCCCTACACCACATCGCCTCGGCAGGACATGGCGTTCCTCCCTCCAGGCTGGACATGCAGCCAGAATATGGAGCGCCGTGTCACCATCAGCACGGGGCAATGGTGGCATCGGGTGGTGAGCTCCTTCCCTATCCGGTGCAGGTACTTGCCGAAGCAACCATGGCCCGTCAGTACCTGCACCAGATGGAAGATCATTCCACATCCCCTCCTGCCCGCCAACTCTGGCAGGCAGGGGCGGACAGCCTCTGCCGTTTCGCGCCCGTACCTTCGTGGGTCTGACAAAATGTTTCCCCACGTCTCCAGGGTATGGGCCACGGCCTGGGATTTCAGGACCCGCAGGTCCCCGGCCGACAACTCCCCCTCCTTGTGGAGCTCCCTTATCCAGTATAGGACTCGCCTCTCCTCGGCGAGGAGCTCCACAGGAGGGGACCCGGCCAGGGTGGTCGCCGCCATGTACGATATTGTGCTGAACTCCCTGATCGCCTTGATGTACAGCGGCCTCAACGCCTGCCGCATTCGGCATTCGCCATCGCAGCAGGCCTGAAGCTAGGGCGCCCATATCGGCGCCCCGTACACGGCGATAGAGAGAACAGCACTCACGTACAGGCGAGCCCACTAACTTGGACCATCCAGATTGCGCAAGAGGCTGGCCACGGCCAGCCCTGCCTTGCACACCCTGGGGGCCAGCTGCCTGAAATGCGGGCCAAAATCCCACCGGCTGTCTATCGTCAGGCCGAGATACTTCGGCCCGACGCGGATGTGGACGTCATCGACCAGGACCCGTGTCTCAGGCGGCGCCCCTCGACTGCCGTCGTAAAAGAACACAGCTTCAGTCTTCTGGGGCGCTACCTTGAGACTCAGGTCCGCAATGGTACCCATCACCATTGCCACCGCCATTTCCGCGCGGAGGCGAGCTTCCCACCAGCTCCTCCACCCAGCCGCCACTAAGGTGTCGTCCGCGTAACAGACGATGTGACAGCTCGGGGGAGCGGAGTGCGCAACACCCAGTCGAACGCGATGTTCCATAGCAAGGGGCTGAGAACCGACCCCTGTGGAACACCGCGTTCCATTGCGCGCCGGCCTTGGACCCCGCCCTCCTTGGGGAAGGCGAGGTCCCTGCCTTCGAAATAGGCCGATAGGATCCGCCGGAGATAGACGAGCCCCCCCGTGATGCTCGAAGGCCCGTCCGATCTCCGGCCAGGGCAGGGTGTTGAAGGCATTTTTGATGTCTAAAGACACCGCCAGCAACACCCCGCCCTCCCTCTCCACGACCGTCTTGGTCAGCTCCCGCAGGTGCTGAACCGCGTCCAGCGTGGACCTTCCGGGCCTGAATCCAAACTCATGGTCGTGGAGGTTCAGCCCCTCCGAGGACAGGTGCCGGACGAGGCGGTCGGCAACGATGCGCTTCAGCATCTTGCCCGCCTCGTCCAGCAGGCATATTGGCCTGTAGGCCGACGCACTCCCGGGTGTCTTGCCCTCTTTGGGGAGGAGGACCAGTTTGGCCCTCCTCCATGCTGGGGGGAATATCCCCTCCTTGAGGCACTCGCTCAATACCCCCCGCATGGCCGCGGATAGGCTTCCCTCACCGAGGGCGAGAGCCCAGGCTCGGCCAGGGATTCCGTCGTGGCCAGGGGCTTTCTCCTTGCCATCGAGTTTCCTCCTGGCCATAACGAGCTCCTCCAGT